TTCGGATTGTCCGTGCGCAAATCAAACTTCTCCGAAGCTGCTAATGATCTCTGGTCCGACAAAGCTCCGCAGGATTCGCGTTGCGAGCAGCACGGTGCTTATCTTGGCAATGCCAATCTTGCACCCATAGCGGCCACGAAATAGATCACGAGAGATACATGTTACAACGCAAGGAACCTCTAAACGCGTTCGCACCCTTAAACTTAGAGCGAAAGCGGCTCGAGTTTCAGCCGCTGGTATTTTCCGAGCGTTCTCCCCTCGAGCGATTAGGCTCGCCGGGGCTAAGAAAGTTCGATAGCCACGACACGACCAGATGGAAAAGTGTCGAGGGGTGCGCGCCTCGGGGTGAAATTTCCAGCCGCGTCGAGCCTGAAACACACTTGTTGCATGCTCACGCCGGTTGTTGTCTCCCGGACGACGCGAGCCGCTTTCCAACCGGCGCGGCGTGCGCGCGTTCCGCCCGACAATAAAACAATAATTTTCGCATAATTACCGCGCGACCTTTGCCGGCGCGAGCGCGGTCCCGGCTGAAAATAGAGGATCGCGTGGGCGCCGTGCCGGTCTCGCGGCCGAAACGTAATTCTTCGTACTCGAGGAAGAGAGACGGGGCTTAATCATCGCATAACAATCGGCTTAGCGTGAGCACGAGCGCTCGCGCGCGGTTCACCCGGTTCCAATCTGAGATCTGGCGCACAGCCTAAAACTCCTCTGCGAAAGGTTAACGATCTTGTTCTTGCCCCTCCGCGTGGATCGGATCGATCGCGGATCGAATCGCGGCGGCGATCGACGTCGACGTCGACGACGACGGGACAACGCCACGCGGTCCAACATAATCGCGTCCAACGATCCATCCGCTCGTCGAATCCGCTCGAGGACGCCGTTCTGCGCCGAGCCGAGCGGTGCCGTGGCCACGGCACACGTCTCTAAAAATACCACCGTGTCTTTTCTGCTTCGGCGGAACACGCTTCTGCGACACCGCCGGCCGAGAAACGACCGTCGAACGAACAACCCTCTATGGCCGAGCGAACAAAAAAAATACCCGAGGATCCGGAGAATCCAGCGGCTCCGAGGCTGAACGCGCGCGATTTGCCCCACATATTCCATGGATCTGGACGACGGTGGGTGCGGGAGCGCCGAGGCCACGCCTACCGGGGCCATTTCGAGCACCCCGCCCTTGAAGGCATTCGTCTGAATAGACGTTCGAAGCGAACCGTTTAGCGAACCGTTTAGCGTTTCTATCGGTGGGAAATCCGAACCGCAAGAGAAACGAGGAGGCCGACGCGTGCCACCGGTTCGATTCGCGGTGGGCCACCCTGTATATCGGCTATTTATACGGTAACGCCGGTGTCGTCGCGTCGCTCGGACGGAAACGACGAGGAAAGCGCGCCGTCGAATTCCCATGTCGAGACCGAATGTTTACGAGTCCTTGTGTAATCGTCGACGATACTATTCACCGTTTGAACGATAACGCTCGATAAGCCGTTCCTCGGCCTTCGAACATGAATTTCCAACCGTTTTCTTTTTTAGATTACCGAGCCGAGGACTCGGCCGACGATCACGCGAACGCTGGCGCGGCCAATCGCTTCGCGTTCGTTTCCGATTCGGCGTTCGATTCGTCCGTTCGGATCGGTTTTCCTTGGTCGGGAAATCGCGACCACCAACATTGCGACACGACTTGCCAAACATCGGCCGGCATCTCTTATCGGCTGCAATTGAATTCGTTCGATCGATGTCCCGATCAATTTCGACGCGATCTCCGATTCGTCGTCGTCCCGGATTTCGAGGCGCAATTAAAAAATGTCCAACGCGGTTACCGTTCGAAAGAGAATTAAATTAAAGAGGCGTCGTCCACGGTTCGACACGTTCGTCCGCCATTTATGAATTGTTTCCCGCGTCACGGTGCCTCGACGAACGCAAGGACGTTTTCTCGTTTCAACGTTGTCCCTGTTTCGGCAGTTGGCCGATTTTCTTTCTTTCTTTTTTTTCTGCATTTTCCTCTCTCGGAAAATCCGTGCCGGACGGTTCGAAAACAGTTCGGAAATAGTCGCTGGTGCAAGCACGTGGCGGCGGCGGCGGCGGCGAGAAAGCTGCTGGCGAAGACGAAACACACGGAAGGGGCCGGCGGGGGATCGATCGGCGAAAGGGGCGACGACGGGCTGCATCGCCGATAGATCTTTAAATAATTTCGTCGGTGCAACGAACGGTTCCCCGGAGAGCAATTCGAGGTCGTCGTGTTAGGTGAATCAGCCTGTATATGGGAAACGAAGCAGCCGACTAGTTCCGTACGGGACGGTTAACTGTACAATTTCTCGTAAAATCTCGGCCGCGCACGGGCGCGCGTCAAACATTCCACGGAACGAGGCCCGATAGCGATTTTTCCGTGGCCGGATTCGGAACGGGTCGCCGGCCGCTAAAATTTCAAACATCTCTCTCGCATCCCGTTTTTCTAGCCGTTCCACGACAGCACGAAAGGCTTCTTTGCACCGATTGCCCCGCGGGGCACCGTCGAAATCGGGAGCACCGAGGCCACGCCCACTCGGGATACTTGGCGCAATCGGAGAGCGATAGAATACGCTTGTTTCATTGAAATTTGTATAGGCGATCGAAACGCGATGCACGTAAATGCATACAAACGTCGGTTGCACAACGTAGAAATTGTCGTTTAGGATGCTGGCAATCGGCATTTAACGATGCCACGCGCACAAAGAACTGTAAAAGTTCCGTTAAAAGGATTTTCGTCTCTCCGATAGCCGCAAACGTGTCGAACGGTTATGACATAGCTCGCGACGACTAGATTTCATCGCGGTTGCCCCTGGGGGATATTTCGAGCCAAGTAAGTATATAGAGAGAGTGATTAATAAGAATGTTGTTTAAATGTTGCAAAACGGGGACTAGTCGAAGATGCAAAGGTTCGAACGGCAAGGTCCTCAATCATCGGATCGTTTTCGTTCGATTTTCTGGCGCTGAGGGAGTCGCGTCCCGAGCCGCAACGTCGTCGCGCTTGCCAAATTTGCGGACGTTAATTACCCAGGGTCGCCGGAATCGCGCATTGTCATCATCATTGTAAACGTCGCGCGTCGAGACGCACCTTGGCCTGCTACTAGCGGCGGACCCGAGGCTCTCCTCCGGGACTCTCAGGGACTCCCGAAGCAAGACAATGATCATGACATCGATACCGCTCTATTTCACGGAGTCGCGCGCCGCAATAATTGTCGACCGGGACGTATAAATTCATTCCGGAGCGAAGTGTGCGCATTGCAAAGAAAATATATCCTCTGAACGTCTCTTCCGATTGGTCGATGCAACAACGTTTGATCTTGGACTACGGGAAGATCGATCGACGATCGGCAGCCTTCGAGAGATCGATCGATTGTCATTGTTACTCTCTGGATCGTCGAGGCCGTGATGATCGATTCCTGGGAACTCGTACGAGCGTGAACGTCACTGGAATGACTCAGTGTACGATTATTTTCGTCATAAAGTCTGAAAATACGATCCGAAGGGCTCCCGAACGGCGATCCGCGTAAACCGAGTCGGACCTGAGGAGAGCCTTGAGCCCATGCCAAAAATTAGGAAAACGTCGTCTTCAACGCGTACTCCGAGGCTGCTCTACTTTATCAATTGACACCGCATTAATCTGACTAAAACACCGTTGTGTTCTCTGTCCCGGAGGTCTTCTTTCTTTCTTTCCACTTTTTATCCGGCTCGCTCGTCTCCCTCCCCCCTCCTCTTTCTTCCATCGTAATTAATCATCGAGAGCCCTCCCCGCCCGGAATCAAACGTCTCGTGTTACATCGGCCCTGATTTCGCCGTTTTTACGTTTTGGGTTTCTACGCGACCGTGCTTGACATCCAGAAACAATCCTGATTCGAATGATTCGTCGGCGAACGGAATCCGAGGCTATCAATTCCATCCTGTCCAATTAAGAAAATTACGCGGTTCGCTCAGCCTCGCCATCTGATTCTATCACGATCCGTTAACATATATCATCCATCCCGAATATTTCGTCGATTCGAACGAAGTTCGCGCACGTACACCGTTCTCTGGTTGTAATTCAAAATTTCGAATCGGCACCCACTCGAATTTCCCGCCAGAATTAAGCAACGAATTCTCCATCCGTTGACATAACCCCGACGAGACCGCGTCAGCTTGTTAACAAAAATAATTCGCTATCTGTTTGTCAACTCCGAAGAGAGTTGACGAAAAAAAGAAAATTAAAAAAAAAAAACTCGAACCATGAATTAAAAACAGAATAAAACGGTCATCGTCGTACTTTCACTATCGCTTACGTGAATTCACGAAGTCGGAATTGTATAAGATACGTCGCGATAGTTGGTACCATAAAGAAGTACGTGTCGTTCGTGCACGATAATGTTTCAAGAATCTCTCGGTATGTTTGTTATAATTTGGGCGTAAACTGTATCGACGTGCAAATCGTATCAATTTACGCGATTTATTTGATCAATGACTCGCTCGATCGATCAATAGCAATCGGCGATCGTAAACATTCGCGTGGCGAATGGCGAACGAACGCAACGAAATTTGTTACGAGAAAAAAAAAACGAACGAATAATTACCGTGACTTCGATTTACTCTGTGCGCGCGCGACAGCGGGGAGATAAAATATTTTCGAATTTACGGAGCGCTCTGTCGCCAAGGTTATGTGCATCATCGAAACTGCCGAAACGAATCGAATCGATAGGGACACTCGATGGATCGCCACCGCGATTGTAACGACTGCGGTCGTTTTTCGAGGAACTCGATTCGCGTGGAATTTCTCTTATCGAGTGTACGTATCGCGGGATTGAAGCCGGTTGGTTCGATCGCGAGCGTAACGACGGAACGATTGCGATAATCGAATCGAAAGTTCTCGCCGGGAAGACAGCGAGGGAAGTCGTCTAGAGACGGGCGCAGGGCACGACGGGCACAGACGGCACGGTAAAAGCATCGGTTACGAAATAAACATGAGAGATCGTGGATCATCCAATTGGTTTACTCACCTTTTTCTGCTGTTTTTCCCAAGCAGGATCCAAAAGACCTTCCCTCTCCCACTCTTCCTCCGGCTCCATGTATCCGTCCCCGTAAGCTTCCATGTCGTTCATCCTTCCGCGGATATCTCACGTTCCTTTAAACGCAAAACGAGTTTCCGTGTCACTCGGTGTAACGACGATCGTCGGGTTTGGTTATGGAAATTACGCGGTATTCCCTACACACGGCTCACGGCGACCAGATACATAACGACGACATTCAATGCGTGTACCGTCGATAAAGGGACAAAAGATTGTGTTCCACGGGCGTAATGGAAAAAGAGAATGGGAGACCCGATATAGAGTACGGAGAGTGCGAGACCGTAGAACAGATAGATATGATATTGATAGATACGGGAGGATGACCGACTGCGGGAACACGGTGAATAGGTGTACGTTTTGTAATCGTGAAAACGTACCCGCTAAGCCCAGAAAACGTTCGGTTCGTGTCGTTCTTTCTCTCGCGCTGACCCCTCTGCCACGAGTCTGACACACGATTTGCTCGCCGGCGCACGAGCCCCCCCTCCCCACCCCTCCCACGCTCCCTCCCCCACTGTCTCTCTTTCTCCTTTTCTTTTTCTTTCACCCCCTCTCTCCCTCTCTCTTTGTAGGGTACCGTCCCGCACCCCGACCACTAACACCCCGTCGCCCACCCAAGATCTGGTTCCCATGCAGCAGCTTCCGTGTCCAACCCCCGCGAACTGCTAGCGATCGGGTCAAGCATTCCGAATATGTATACAACGTTTTGTTAACCGAAGGATTCGAGTCAAGACCGTACACAACCATCCGCCCTTTTCGTTCATATTTTTTCAAAGTGGCGCGAATTAGAATGTTCGATCTACGATTGTACGATCGGCCGATGAAAACAAATGAATTATCGAATCGATCCAATAGCAAATACCCGCGAGTTTTTCGAGCAGCAGGTAGATTATCTCTGTATCTGATCGAGCCTCCTTCTAGCCGATGGATACTGTTACTGCTTCCCTCTAATCGACACTGTTTTCAACGTTGAGATAGACGCAATGCTGTCGTTCTGCGGATTGCTCCGACATCGAGCAAGCGAACATCTGAACGTACCCAAGCACACCGTTCGAAACTAACCTCCGTTCTTCTTTCTAGAACGTGAATCCCGCGCAACAGGCAGCTCGGTGAATACCAAGATATCGAAAATAGTATCGAAGGCGACTAAGGCACCTGATTCACCCACACACGATAAAAATAGTACGGTAATTCGCGCGAAATTCCCAAAACAACGAGGGTAACTCCATTCCTCCGAGACTTCACGGACACTAGGGCATGAACGTTTTTCTATATAGAACGGCGACGATTGCGTTAGTGAAAATTGTAAACCCTTTATATGCCTGCCAGTTGCATTTCGAATGTACTGTTTGCTGGCTTTCCATAGAGTTCATGTTCATTGTATTTCAAATTAAGTCAAAGTTTGTCGATCCGTATCTCTTCTGTGTCGTCAATTTTTTTAAATTTAACAAACAGTGGATTTAACGTTTCATTACAGTTTGTTTGAAATTATGGTAAATCGCATCGAAAGATTGTGCGAACCTTGATTTCATATAGTTTTTTAATACGCCTGTTGTATCTGTATAAAATTAACAAACCAAATTTCTAGAGGAAAGTTCTAGAAGCAACACATTTTTTCTACTACATTTTCTACCGCATTGCTATTCAAATATTCCCGCGCTTTCGAACGTTTCGTAAAGACGTGGCAACGTCGCATGCATGTAGGACGCCAAGGTCACTGAATTTAGAAATACGAACATCAAAAGCTTCGATGTAAGTTTTATCTCTAATACAGTAGTGCCTCCGCATACCGAGCTGTATCGAGCGATGTCGGGGACAAAGCGCTCAGAAATATGAAGCAATGGACAGAAAATGCTTTTCTCTGATTGGTTGACGCTTTACAGCTAAATAGTGCTGCCCTCACAGTTTTAGACAAAGAGAAGAAGTGGCGAGTGAGGAAGAGAGCACATCAGGTACAACCACAAGTCACATCGACGACCAATGTAGCTTGTCTCACTTTACCATGCTTGGCGATCTCACTCTATTCCCGCATCCGTTTGCCTGGTACTCCATCTGAAACACTCGACGTGATATCCAACTTTTACTTTTCGCCCCGTAGGATTCTCAAGCACGTTTTAAAAAGGTGACCATTTCTACAATTATTAAAAATTTTCGAAAATCCTTCTCGTAGAGTAGAGCATTGATTGCTGCCCGACACAGTTGACAAGTACTGCAATGACTGGATTAACAAAATTGTGTAGATTCATGAACTAGAAAATATTATCTAAAATGTAGCTTATATAGGTTTTCGAAAATTTTAATAATTGTAGAAATGAGGCAAAATGTACAAGTCGAAAATCGCGCCGTGTGATTTAGATGGAGTGTCAGGAATACGAATGCGTGAAAAGAGTGAAACCGCAAACACGGTAAAGGGAAACGGCCTAGGTTTGTCGTCCGTGTGGACACTCACACATAGAACCCGCTGGTTTCGTTCTGTCTCTCTCGATCATCTCCCGTTTTCTTTCTAAACCGTCTGCGCGGAGCTGGATGCGCATTAAAATGGTGGGGATAGAAGCGCTCGGAAAGAAGAGATAGAAATCGCTCGCGTTAACCAGTTGCGCTACTGGAGTTAGAGAAGGTAGTACCGTGTTACCAATCCAATAGTGTGTGACCGACCATTCTAATTTCGTTTATGTATTTGCGTTTGTGCATATATAAATATACATAGATTGGTATGAACGTGAATAGATCTGAAACCTCGAGCGATGGAATGTCGATATTTATTGTCATCTCCTAAATATATTTTGTAATACTTCTTCGAAATACTATAATCAAGCATTTCACAGAATCCATATACATACATATTTCCGAAAGGTATGCTCGTTTACATTTTAATAGATTTTCCGTCTTTAAGTGATATTTTTTCGAGGAAAATCAAGTTTTGTGAAATATGTGTTACTACGTTCCAGTGAGTCCATGTGTTCCCTTTAAACAGTGAATATTTCGAGTAAAAGTTATTTAGAAGGATATTCGAGCAAGATATTCGAAAAATAACCTAACCGGTGTGAAATGGCATCATCGTTGTCAGGTATTCACAGTATCCATTCATTACTTTCTTGTTTTCGTGGCCTTATTTGGATGTGCTACATTTTATTCTATTTTCGTAGGATATTGGGTAAAATTTTTTAAGGGAGCAGGATTTCCGCAAGACGTTGCAACAAAACATGCCGTTGTATTCTCAAATAATCGCATAAAGCCGGACATGCTACCAGATTTAGACAAACCTAGTCTGAAAGAAATGGGAATAACTTTAATGGGAGATATGATTGCAATCTTGAGGTATGCCAAAAAGGTAGTCGAAGAGACAACATGCGAAAGGTTTCTTGTAGACACAGAAGACCCATCCACAAATTCAAAACAGGTTGTTAAGAAAACAGTAACCAAACCACCCATTAAAACAGTTGCTTCCAAAGTTAAATCTGATGTTGCAACCACAAAAAAGATAGTGAAAATTCCAACGAGTTCGGTAAAGAAAGCTGTCAGCATAAAAAAACTAGTCTCCACGTCGACTGAGGGAATGACAGATTTTGCTAATCAAAAGAAGCAAATAATTCTTAAGAGAAAATTAGAAGAAGAATACGACAGTAATAATGAGGATGAATGGAATGGGACGGTGAAAAAGACAAAATCATTGGACAATAAGGATGATAAAATAGGCTACACAGTAATACTTCCAAAGGGATCAACATCTAGAAGTCAACAGATACTTAAGAAATCTACAGAACAAAAAAGAACTGTTTTTGACAGACTGGGAGATAGTTCTGTAACTAGTACAACAAACCTAGCAGAGACATCGCCAACATTTAATATCACTGGCTTAGGAAAAGATGTTTTGAAAAGATCTGTAAGCGTTTTTAAGCGGCTAGGGGACAAAGATGCACAGAAAGACAGTACAACTCACATAGGTATACTGAAAAATGGAACAACTAGTTCCGGGATATTAAAATCTAAAAGTATTAGTGCAAGAACCTCTATCATTACAACAAACAAAACAATACCAAAAACTATGGGGACAATGAGAGCAGATCAAGAGGCTACTAGAAAAATTCTGTCTAATACAGTGTCTCAAGTAGTGAAAACAACTAAAAAAATTTCTTTCAATAGTCCATCTTCAAATAATGTTAAAATCGCAAAATCTAGTGTTACGTCTGGAAAATTAGGTACTGTAGTTTTTATTTTATGTGCTGTAAATATTTTTCAAATTCTCATTTGCAAAAATTTTTCAGCTTCTGAACGACTGACCTTGATACCAGCAAAAGCACGTTTGGGAGCAGTTAGGACCAGTGGTCCTAAACAAGTTACTTTTGACAGGATTACAACAGTGGCACATGTAAAGAAACCGGATGTTTTCAGTCGTCTTGGAATTTGAATACTATGAGCCGGTGCTCGATTAGAGTAATATGTCTTCGTGATCGAAACTTTTTGTACAAAGTTAAATAATTTCCTACTACATATAATATAGAAATACAGAAAATAATAATATTAATTAATTATTATTAAATGGTGTTAATTAAGAAACGTAAGATTAAACTTGGAAATGCTTTGAGAAATCTTATTATTTTCCAATAATCATTGTAGATACATACGTTCCTTTAAAAATATAAATATATTTCATATTTAAATGCAATCAATGTTTTATTTGCATGTCAATGTATAAAAATAACATTTGAAATGTTTTTATCTAAATAAAACATTTGGTACATGCTTT